CACAGTATTGACACAGTATTGGCACAGTATTGACACAGTATTGGCACAGTATTGACACAGTATTGACACAGTATTGACACAGTATTGACACAGTATTGGCACAGTATTGGCACAGTATTGACACAGTATTGACACAGTATTGACACAGTATTGCCTCATCGACCCATCACTAGAAGTAAAGCAGCACAAACATCCTGTCACACAGAGAGACTGTGCGCGCTCCCGCCGCAGCTCATCACTTTTTATTTGGCTTCTGCTAGAAAAGTCCGGAAGATTTTTTTGTACTGCAGAAAACCTGCTCAGTAATTTGGAATAAAGATAATATGAGACACAAACTGGCCCTTTTTATCTAAACGTTTAATTTAAGACAGGAAGGTGTGGTGCGTTCAGGGTTACCCAGTCACAGAGTGCGGAAGCTTCTGTTGGAGCCCAGCCGCTCAGCCCGGACTCACACATGCCCCTCAGGTAGTCGGCACCGATGGACAGCTTAGCAGACAGAGAGGCGGCGGCACCGAGGAAACCCGCTAACAGCGCGTAAACAGAACCCGAAGCCATGTCGGACGAGCTTTACATTGACACAGCTCCTGAAATGACGCTCACACCGACTGTACCGTGCCTCTACATCATTTGTGGCCCGGTGGACAAGGCGGGTCGCCGGAGTTTCCACTGCATTTCATGCCCTGCTGCTCAGACAACTTCTTGTTGACCAACAGCTAGTTTTTATGCCTCTTTTACAAATTTGAATCCATGACAAAATAAACATTGATCGCTGTGAGGTCATCTATTATAATTTAACACCGCCCGTCAGCAAACACCACCTCCAACTCTATGGCGCTGCTCCAATTCATTCAAAGCACTTATATCCGGCGGACAGAAAAGGAACGCATCCAGGTAAAAAAAAATTACGGAATTATATTTCAGAACAAAAGCCATATTCAAGAAGAACACTATATTTATTCATTCGACTTAACAAATACATAAAGACAAAGCCATCATATCTGATTTTGTATCTTAAGAGTATTATTACTTTTTAATAACAGAGAAACTGCCATTTTTATCCCCTGCCGTCGTTACACGATTTTATTTTGAAGATAATTATAGTTGTTTCCGATCAGTTAATTTTACACCAATCACAGCTGCTCCTGGAGTCACGTGACGCTCATTGGTGCGTCTCGTCGCGTGGATTTACCGTGTTTTGGCTGCTAGCTTCTCTGGTAGTGGAGTTAGCCCGTTAGCTGCTGTTTGTTGTGCTTTTAATAATGAATAAAAATAAAGCAAGCGGCGTGGCGTGGGTGAAGCCGACAGAGCCGTCCTTTCTGAAGAAGTTTAAAAGTGATGTTGGATATAAAGAAGGGCCTAATGTTGACACAAAGGTAATGTTTCGTTGCGGTTTTATTTAGCAGATTAAAGACGTTAGTATGTAATGGTTTATACACGATCAGTAATGTTTTAGCGTCTCATTATTTTAAATGTGTCAATTGTTGGATTTACGCGTCTGGTCTGAATGTTGAAGTGGAAAATGAACGCGTCGTTTCATGATGTCAGAAGTGGACCAGCACAACGTGTGGTGCTTTGGTAGTCTGGAAAAATCAAACTTATTCTGGAAAATTACTGTTCCAGACATTGTACCTTGTGGGATTTTCTAAAATGATAAAAATTAATTTTCTAGGAAATGTTCAACCAAGAAAAGTATTTTGAAATTGATTATGTATAGTCATCATAAGGTTATTATTTAATTTAATTTCAAGGCGTTTTGTTTTGTCCATCAGAGCTTTGTGACAACATGCTGACATTAATAAAGTTGTTAAAACCTTTCCACAATAATAATCAAGTCAAAGTTTCTTTATTTGTCCTACATGTGGTACATGGTGGAACGACATTGTGTCCACAGGGTCCCAGTTACATCCAACTAAAGTATAAAATGTAAAGAAAAACAGTAATAAGATCTAAGATACGAACTCAAAAAGACATCAACTAAATTTACATTAAGCACCAATAGAATAAAAACAATGTGCCGAACAGCAGCACGAACATGAGTCTGTGAGCAGATGAGTACTTAATGTAGTGGACTAGGCCTGATGTCAAAACTGACCAGATGGACAGAAACTGTCATTTCATTGATTTGAATCCAGAAATACAGTTTTACCCATCCTGAGACTTTCTTTCTTGAATTAATCAAGTGGAAAAGACAATTCTCTATGATCATTACTATTTTACAAATGTTTTGATAATCAAATTGTGTTAGTTCAAACAATGTTTACATGTTGAAGTGAACTACTCATTTTTATTAACTGTGAAACAGTAAATAATGATCCTTAATCCTCATTCAAAGAAGAAATCAGGTTAATATGCATTTCTTGATTTTTCTGTCTTCAATGAGCAAAGTTGTAAGTGTGTTAAAGTTCAGGCTTCGGTCAACTAAAAGGTTTACTGAAAAGAAATGTCATGTTTAACTTTTACAGCGAGATACAGGAGAGGTGGCTCCACGAAGACTGGTTTTCTCCAACAATCTTTCTGTCTGTTCTTAAACAATTTGAATCTTTTCCTTGACTTTTAATAACACCTTACATCACAAACCACACCTCTGTTTTGGTCCATCCACCAATCAAAAAGCTCTCAAATGAACCGGAAGTGACCCTTGATAAAAAGGTTGGCACTTCCTAGTTCAACAGGAGAGTTCAGAGAGTTGAAGAGTTCTGGTAGAGTTCAGCTCAGTCTTGAAGCTGCTGTAAGCTCTGTCTTGAAGATGGAGCAGCAGTTCAAGAGAGTTCAGGAGTTTTGGGATCCAGAATATAGAGAGTTTGGGAGTTCATGAATGCAAACGCAGGCATTCATGGATGCTGCTAAACCAAACAAGCTGAACCAGAGACGATTTTGGGAATTATAACTTCTGTTTGGATAACCTCGCACGGCTCTCGAGGTATTTGGCTGTTCTCACTGAGACGCTGAACAGTGGTTGGAAGTGAGACTCCACGCCGGAACTGATCTATCTTCAGAAAAGGTAAAAGTCAACCTTCACCAAAAGTGTACTGTTTGGGACAAGCTGATTTCCGAAGGAGCGTGCACGTTCTGGTTAAAACAGATAAATTCCCTCACACATCTCTCTGTAAGATAAATCTCAATTTTCCATCTTTATCAATCAACCTTTATTTATACAGGTAAATCCCATTGAGCCTCGAGGACTCATTTACAAGAGAGACCTGATTAAACTCTCCTTTCTGCTAGAAAATTAATCCAGATGTTTTCATTAATGTCTGTGGTGAAGCAACGGAAAATCATGGCCGTATGGTTCTCCTGGTTGTAAAGTACATTAATTATGTTGTTGTTTTCATATTCTGCCAAATTAATGTAAATGTGTGATGTGTTAAACTTGATTCTGTTAATAAATGACCCACTCGCTCGGTGAGTCAAAGATAATTAACGTCTCACGTCCACATTTCTGTTAAATTCAACGCACGTTTTATTCAGTCCAGAAAAATGAAGAATCCGTTTTAATTGATGAATATATCTCAGCATCTGTTCATCTACATTAATAATAATAATAATAATAATAAAAATAATTCACAAAATATGAGACATGACAGGAGACAAACATTTATAGCAAATTTACTGTAAATTTTGTCTGTATTGCCTCAAAACTGCAAAAAAAAGGAAGAAATTTTGGAAAAGTATGGACTTTCTAAGTAAATAAGTCAGATACCAGCAAAAAACCCTACTTTTAGCCAAACTGTAGGATGCCCACCCCCGCCCCCTCGAAGTATCCTTGCACTCTCAATAGTTGATCATCACACACTTAAAATAAGACTGAAGCTCATCGTGTTCATTAAAACCATTGAACTCTTGTTTTAAATGATTTGTTTTCTTCTTCCTGGGTTCTGTGCTCTTCAGCGCCAGGTGATGCCGGCTCTGGATGATGACAGCGGGAGTGATCGAGACGACGAGCTACCTCAGGTTGTCGTTTTAAAAAGTGGAGACCTGACAGCAGAGGAGGCCCAGGTGATCAAAGATGAAACACGTGGCGGAGGCGACGCAGACAAAGGTCAGCCCGTCTTCAGCACAGTCGCTTGGTTTTTTTTGTCATGTGACATGAACAGCTGCGTTTGGTTCACAGACGGTGAAGCTCCCGCCGACGGTAAAATCCTTTTCAAGAAGCCAGCCAAGCGCGCCTCCTCAAACCAGTTCCAGGGGATCACTGCCAGCTCCAGCAAGAAGAAGAAGAGCGATGCAGGAGAGAAGGAAGAGAAGAAGGAGACGTCTGGAACTAAAATAAAAAATCAAAGCCTCCTGTCGTTTGGAGAGGATGAGGAGGAAGAGGACGACTAAATGGTGAAATGTGAGAGTGTCGAGGACAAAGTCACATCTGAATATAAAGTTAAAGAATGAAAAGCAGCTAAAGTTACGGCTGTTCTGCAGCCGGTTCAGCATCTTTAAAAGATGGTGCCAACGTGTTTCATTCCAGACTCTTCAAACCGTTTCATTCATTTTGGTGTAAATATCAACCATGAACATCTGTTTTAACCACTGACCCACACGCAACACTTCATTTATATTTCTTGTAGCAATACATACAAAGTCCAGTACTTGAGGTACATGTCTGGTACTTATTTAGTATATAGTACATATCACTAGTTATGCATCTGGTTTGTACCAGGAGTGACCAGATGTGAACAGAAACTGATGGAGACGATTGTGGAGGAGCAGAAACTACCAGCAAACCAGATGTTAATAAACAACCTGATCATGGAGACACTTCCAGCTCATCAGACTGGAGTCAGGGAGGATGGTCGTCATCATCATCATCATCATGTTCTTTCAGCTGCTCCTCCTTCAGGGGTCTCCACAGTGAACTCACTCACATGAAGACTTGGTGACTGTTTTTACACCAGATGTTCTTCCTGACACAACCACAGCCTCTGTGGAGCAGAGCTGCTGTCTAGGGTGCCCAGTGGGAGTAGATGGTGGGGGTTAAGGGCCTGGCTGGGACAGGTGAGGGTGGAGGCAGGTGTGGGTGCTTCACCTTTCCCACCCACATTTTGATGTCTGTCCGGGGAGTTGAACCGGTGACCTTCCAATCACAGGCCCACCTTCTATAACCCCTGTACCACCACTCCCCCTAGGATAGTAAAAGTATCAAATGTTTAAAGTAAAAAGTGAAGTATTTTTAGGGAAACGGTAAGATTACATTTGACGGCAGCAACACGTCTCAGTCTACATCTAGGAATGGAGCAGACTAGTTCCTGGAGTTTGATGATGTAGATTCTAATGAAGGAGTAGCTGTTCAGCAGTCCTGGGTCTTTTGTGCCAGATGTTTGTATTTGGTGAGACATCTGGACTGCAGGCAGGTCTGCTCAGCACCCCCACTCTGGTGATGGGTGCTGAAACGTGTAAACCTCTGACATCGTCTGCATGGGAACATGCTCTAAACCTTGTAGAAACTTTTCTGCATTCACGGAGCCTTTACAGATGTGCCAGCTGCCCATGCCAAAGGCACTAATGCACCCCCATAACAGCAGAGAGGCAGGCTGTTGAACTGATAACAGGTTCCTCATTTATATCATGGGCATGGTGTCTTGTACAATTACAGCTGGTTCCAGTAATTTAGGGTGAAATTAAAAGTTTATGTGCACAACGGGCCAGTAGTCACTGATGCTCCACAAATGTCTGATCGCCTTTAAACATCGGCCGTACTGCCGCATCTATTAGGAACAATGTTCTGAAATTCTTTCACTGTTTTTACAGTTTACAGATCTGTGAACCTCTGCTCATCTTCTGAAAGATTACTTCAAACACTCTCTTACCGACCTGTTGCTAATAATCCTAATCTGTTGCAAAGCTTCTCCAGCTGGTTCTGTTTTGTACAGACTTGTAGTCTTTGGTTGCCTCACTCCTGTTTGACGTGTTGCTGCTATAAAAATAGTTTCTTTCTTTGAGCAGCTTGTTTCAGCCCTCACTGTGGTCGTGACCAACATCCTGGACACAAGCAGCTGAAGGGCGTGTCCTCTGCAGGGTGACCAGGTGAGACTGTGCATGTAGAGCTGCTGCTCCAAATCAGTCAGCTGAGGCGGTCCAGAAATATGATTAGGACGCCTCCTGGGCTCTAGATTACAGTTTAGTTACACCCCACTGGGAGAAGACCCCCAAGGCAAACTCGAACCCTGCTAGATATTTTTTTCCTGGAAGAATTGGGGGGTGGAGCTGAAGAGCGTTGCTGAGGATGACGACGAACCAGATGGACACAAATGATAAATACCTGATGGGTTCATGATGTTTGCAAACCAATGCATTGTTTTTATTTACGTTTTCCACGTCTCTACTTTTCCAGAATGGCTGATGTAGATGAAGTTGTGTATTGTGTTAGTTGGTCCGGTTATTTGATGAAACAATAAAAGAACTATGATTATCTGTGATCACTGTCAGTGAAGTGTTTAATGTGTCCAGTCCATGTGATGCAACACGACAAAAAGAATCAAACGACAATGAATTATTTTAACCTTTTTATTTAAAAAGGCAAGTTTCATTCTCACACCTGCATCCAGATCATTACAATTAATGGAAGAACCTCTTTCTGAAAATCAAAACCAAATAAATTCTTGCATCAAGTGACGGGAAGCTGCAGACTCCCACCTTCATGTAATAAATACACCCACAGCTGTGAAAAAAAAGATCGACTTTCAGTTTTAAGGCCTGCGCTGTCCAGCTGATCATCCTGCTGATCCTCCTGCAATGTTCTGACAAAGCCTCGCAGCAGAAATCAAGTTCGGTACAATAATTCTAAGTGTCACAATGCTGGACAGGACAAGGGGAAAAAAAATTAAAAGAAATCAAGTTCGCTCCCACAACATGAATGCATTTTCAGAACATTTACAAAATAAAACAACTCAGAGGGTTCAGATAAAAGTGGGAACCAACAAAAATGGAACGAGCCGATTAGAAAGAAGCAATAATGTGATGTTTTAGTGACTGCCCAGTCTGGAGGACACGGGTCCAAATCCACTGTTCCAGGATCTGAAGGAGAAATCACAACTAGAACTAAAAAGGAAACAACTGGAGGTTTAATGGCAGGATGACGGTAAATGATCACAGGTTGATGGCAGGATGAAGGTAAATGATCACAGGTTGATGGCAGGATGAAGGTAAATGATCACAATGCTTAAAGTGGCTTTTTGATGATCAAACTGCCAGGAAAGAGACAAATCTAATTTCCATAAAACCAGAGCAACAAAACGTGAACATCTGAGCTGTCAACTTTTAAAAAGATACGCTGCAGGAGCACCTGGTTGCTGAGTGAAGCTGCAGTTTGGAGGTGACACACACCAAAGAACATTTCAGTGGTTCCCAACACTGATCCTTGAGGAACACCATCCTGCATGTTTTAGTTTCTCTGCTCCAACACCTGATTCAGTGATTTAATTACTTCAGGTTCTGTAGAAGCCTGTTAATCACTTGTTTATTCAAATCAGATGTGTTGGAGCAGGGAAACAACTAACACACCAGATGGTGTTCCTCAAGGATGAGGGTTGGGAACCACAGCGTTTAGACACAAGTAATCATCCCTTTGTGTAAGCCATCTATTTTGTTGCCTTGCAACCAGGAAGTCAATTGATTTTTTTTTAGTAATTGTTCAAAAATTTTCAGGTTAATGAATTTCAATAAGGAAAAGTATATTTGAAACTGGGGTGCACAAGATTCAGCCTCTGCGCTTTGAAGCCCCGTTAGCTTCAGAAGACATATCTTTAAATGGAATCCAGCTGTAAGCGATCTATGATCTAAATCTGTCAAATGATGCACAGCTGCTGTGGCAGCCTCCAGAACAAACACCACTCCAACACCCAGCCAAGCAGGAAGTTGTTAAAAGTTACAACGAGATAAAGTGCAAATCAGGCTTGGGTCACTGAAGAATCTCCCAGACCACCGAACGTCTCGGAGACCTCCATGAAATCCATCATTAGATCACGGAATGGAAGACGATGCCGCCGCAGCAAACCTGCAGTCGACTCATGTGGCAGGTGAGCATTAATCAGAGAAGCGTCCAGGAGGCCCAAGATAACCGTGACGGAGCTGCAGCTCTTCTGCAGAGATGGGACGATCTGTCCGTAGGACTCAAGCTGCTGCTGCTGGGCTTCAGTGAAGCACAGCAGAGAGAAGACAGGGTGCAGAGACCACATGAGACCAGACTCAGACCTGTAGGCCATCCAGGACCGCACCATGTCTGAGACCATCTTCCTGCAGAGAACACCATCCTTGCAGTGAAGCAAGGTGGTAGCAGCATCATGCTGTGGGGATGTTTTTCATCTACAACAACTGGGAAACGGCTCAGAGTTAAAGGAAACACGGAACAAAATACAGAGAAATAACTGAGAGGAACTTGACAGAGTCTAGAGATCTGAGGTCGAGCGTCCTGCAGGTCAGCTGCTGAAGCAACATCCACCAGCTGAATGACCCGGGAAGGTCCAGTCCAAGTCCAGACCTCAGTCCAGCACAAGCAGCTCCTACAGAACTCGAAGGAGCTGGACCAGTCTGGCCATGAAGAATGGACTAATGGTCCGGAGACGAACCTGATCAGACTTGATGCTGGAACTGAAACAAGATGTTTAACTTCAATGTTCACTATTATTTTGTAAAAACATAAAACATTAAAACTGAACGTCTTCACTGTAAGGCAACAAGAGAGAGGACGAAGAGGGATGATTACTCTGCTGCACGTTACGATCACAGAAGCTGATGTGACGAGCTGCAAACCAACACCTGAACACTCGGGCGGCTGTGGCTGAGTGGTTGGAGCAGTCGTCCTCCAATGCAAGAGTTGGGGGTTCGAATCCACCAGCAGTCACATGCTGAAGTGTCCCTGGGCAAGACACTGAACCCCTCACAGCCTCTGATGTGTGTCCCATCAGTGTATGAATGTGATCTAAAGCTCTGATTAGTCTCTTTAGAATAATTTGTTCTGTTATCTTTGTAGAGATCTAGTATAGAGCTGTATGAATGGGTAAATGAGGCACAGACTGTAGTGTAAAGAGCTTTGAGTATCTTGAAATAAGATAGAAAAGCGCTATATAAGTACAGTCCATTTACCATTTACTCAACACTGACCAGCCCGATGCTCCACTGGGCACACCAGGGTCCAGAACAAAACCACAGAAACACCAGTTTCAACTGTTCCTGTGAAAATGAAACAGGAAGTCAGAGTCTGTAGGTGGATGGAAACTAACAGAACCAAGTGGATGTTTGTGTGCAGCTCGTCTCTTTTATGGCTGAAGGTGGAGCAGCTGAAGGTGGAGCAGCTGAAGGTGTGGGTCCTCACAGACTGAGCTCACATGGCTGAAGGTGGAGCAGCTGAAGGTGGAGCAGCTGAAGGTGGAGCAGCTGAAGGTGGTGTCAGAGCTTTAAAACAACCAGTTTCTGGAGAAGCTGCTGCTCTCATCACATCCAGCAGGTAGAAAAACAAAGGTCAAAGGTCGCAGTTTGTAAGGTTAAAACTGGTGTGGGGGGGTGGGTCTGGCTGACACCCCCTGATCAGTCCTCCATTTGTTGCTTCAGTTCAGGACGGTTCAGTTTCCAAGTGAAGATGAGGAGCTCAGGAGCACCTCCTTCCTCCTTCCTCCTGACATTTTATTCTTACTGCATGTTTTTGCTGAAAGTTTTGTGTCGGATGTTGTTTCTGCCTCCTGTCCACAGTCTGCCTCTGTGGTGGTGGGGGGGTGGTGGTGGGGGGGGGTACCTATAAGGATTTCTTGGTCACCTTCTTGCCCTTCTTGGTGGTCAGCTTGTTCTTGATGTAACCCCGCTTCCTCTTGGCCGTCTGCAGATGGAAACACTGATGTGAGAGAAATCACATGACAACACCGGAGCACAGCTAACGACACGACACCAACAGAGTCCTGGAGTTCCTTACAAGAACTTCTATCAACCCCCCAGTTTCCATGACAGAGTTTTGGATTACCATCAATCCAGATTATAAACCACTAATGTTTCCACAGGCTTCGACACCACGGTTTATACAACGCTGCGGCTGATTTTATTTATTTATTTTTTGCCAGGCTAACACTAGCTTCATGCCACCAAAACATTTAGCCTCGTCACACCCGGGCGCTCACAAAGCACAGTCTCTCTTGGGGGGTGGAGCCTGTGACTCAATGAGACTATCTGTATAAATAAAGGTTGAAAACAATCTGACCAATGAAATTACTGAACAGGTCACAGTGGGGAGGGGAGGGGTCACCCCCAGGGAGGGGAAACAAACTGGTTGTGGCCCAACAGGAGCACAGAGAAGTATTTGCATTAATGCGTCACTCCGACCTCAGTGGGAGGCCTGGAGGACTGCTGGGAGAAATCTTTTACCAGCACTGGTTGCATGCACAGAACAACTTTTGACCATAGTTGCCAAGTCAGCTTATTCCAAGTGACTTGGTTTTCTTTTTGCTCAAGTCACTTGTACATGTGCTGAGTCGCAGGTTGTGGTTTTTTTGGGCTTGTTTTGAACGTGAAGTTTATTTGAGCTTGACTTTCTTTCCGAGTGAAACCAGTTGATTATCTCCCAGCTCCGCACAATAAAGTAAAACGCGAGTGGTAGTTTGTCCCCTCCACGCCCCCATTTCCTGTTTATCGCTCTGACCCAAGTTGGTGAGGTGACAGGCTCTCACACAGACAGGTCTGTGGGGGCACACTCCAAACACCTGTACTGTGACCGACCACTAGGGGGCTCCACTCACACGCAGATGTCAGGATGTTTTGTTTTTAAAAATATGTAGAAAAAAATTATGCAAAGTGTATTTTTTTTTATCAGAGCTTAAAAGTATGTTATTCAAAGTGTTTATCATAATGTTGCTGTTGTTTATGTGTAATACTACAATAAATGTATATACTGTTTACAAACAGCTTCTGTTTCACGCATTGTGGTGGGTTGCCAGTTGGGCTTGTTTTCATAGAGCTGGTTGAGAGATCTGGCAACACTGATCCTGACAGAGGAGCAGAGTACAAACATCCTCTGTCACCAACGGGTTTCCAAAGGCTGCTGCGTGATGAAGAGGAGAGCACAGGCTCAGTGAGCAGGAGGAAGATGAAGACAACGATCAGTGACTGGTAAGATGCTGGACTCTATTTTAACCAGTTCTGTTACAGGCACTGGTCAGAAAAACACTTACTGTACGTATTTGTGTATGTTACTGATACTTATTTAGTTTGAGGTTTAAAAAATCTTCCTGTGTAAATATCTCATGCTACAACATGGACACCTGCAGGTTACACAGTACGTAGGTGGGGCCTTTAGATGTACTATATGTTATTATAGTTTTTGATGTAGTTTATGTTCCAGCGTGCTCAATAGTCTGGAAATTACAGTAAAATGGTGTTTTGTTGAGAAATGACAGAGTTGTAGCCGTTTAGGTCAAACCTTATAAATATGTGATGACGCAGGATGTGGTGCTCACAGCAGGAGTTGTGAATGACTCTCAGTTACCACCACAGCACATTTTAAAACCTCCAGCAGCTAATATCAAGCAGCTGTGGCAGCCAGCTCTAATTTTCTTGGACTCTAATGGGCCCAAAGAAACAACAGGTTGATTGTGAGCAGCAGGTTGACGGGTGGCTCAGTGGTCATACGTCAGCGTACCTTTTTGGATGTGTACTTCTGCCTGGCGGTCTCGGTGCTCCGCAGCCTGTGCTCCACGCGGTCCCTGTTCTCCAGCTTTTTGACCTTATAAATCCTGACCAGCCAGTGCTCTGAGGTGAAGGCCTCCTCCAGGTGCCGTAGCTTGATGTCCTTGTTGCCGATCTCGGCGTTTCGCGTCCTGTCGAAGCCCGGAGGCGTCCGGAAGTCCAACTTTTCCCAGACAGAAACACGAGTCATTATTCTGCTTGAATGAGAGGACCTGTAACTGTTGTCATGACGCTGTACCTGCATCTCTCCGAAGCGATAGTAGGACATTTTGTACATGAGGCAGTTGAGCAGGGTGGGGGAGCCAGCTTTGTCCACTCTGAACTCTCCCTGGGGGGTGAAGTAGTCACTTTCCTGGATTTAGAGGAGAGATGAGGAAGCAGGAGATCAAACTATGACACAGCACATTTTGCTGCCTCCTGCTCTGCCCAGCAGCTTACCCTGATGTCTTTGGGGTGCTCCCCCTCTGCGATGCGCACCATCCAAAGGAACTTGTTGATGTCGTCGCCGGAGTAGCCGATGACCCCTCCAAAGATGATCAGGACGTAGTCAACATCCAGAGACCTCATGATTTCATAGGCTGCGGTCTCGTTGGAGGACATGGCTTTACCCACCTGGACAGGGACAAGCAGGCAAAGGTTAAAGGTCAAAAGTACATAATGTGTCCGAGTGCATGGTGTGGGGGTGGGGGTGGGGGTCAACTCCTGCAGGATCTACCTGCTGAAACCAAGTACCAAGTACATTTAGCTGCTGATTCATCCAGTTGGGAGAATTTCAACACAGTCGAGTCAGATTGAGTGTTTTTGCTGAGTCATGGTAGAAACTAAAGATTTGATTAAAAAATATTCAGATCGTTCCGTTCAAACTGGAAAAGAAATAAGAGAATTGTTTGTGTGTAAAGTTTCTGTAAGATGCATGTAAATAATTAAAATATAATGAAAAAGTTCAATTATTTGTGTTACTCATGTCAGAAAATGAAACTCGTATTCTAGATTCATTACAGAGTGAAATATTTATTTCTTGTCATTTTGATGATTATTGTTTACAAATAATGAAAAATCAACATTCAGTGTCAGAAAATGAGAATATTGTTTAGAATATTATAAACTCCTGGTGTCTCACGCTGATCAGCTGATGAACTCCTGGACATGAGCTGCAAACGTGTCACTCCTCCAGTCCAGCCACTCCTGAACCAGAGACACCATCAGAAGGAGACAAAGACCTGGACTGTCTCTCAGTGGTCCAACGTCCTCTTTCCAGATGAAACTAAATGTTCATGTCATTTATAAATCAAGGTCCAGAATCCATGTAGTTCAAGTCCAGAGAGAAGTTTCCACAGTCAGGGATGGTCTGGCTCCATGTCCTCTGCTGGTTCTGGTGCACTGGGTTCTCTGAAGTCCAGTCCTCGCAGCGTCTAGCAGGACATTTTAGAGACTCCATGCTTCCTGCTGCTGACGAGCTTCATGGAGATGCTGGTTTCATTTTCCAGCAGGACTCGACTCCGACCCACACTGACCAGAACCACTGCACCAGAAGCTGGTTCTGGAATATTCTAACTTTCTGAGACACCGAATGTTGGTTTGTCATTATTTGTTAAGTTAGAATCATCAAAAATACAAGAAATGAAGGCTTGAAATATTTCACTGTGTGTAATGAATATATGTAATGTGGAGTTTCACTTTCTGAAATGACTGACAATTAAAAAAAAAACTTGTTTCTAGAATATTCTAATTTCTTGAGATGCTCCTGTATAAGTCTACAGTAGAGCTCCTTTCATTCTGTGTGAACACTCAATGTGTATTGATACACTTTATCCACTAGATGGAGTCAGAGATCACATTTGACCAAGCTGCACCAGAATCAGTGAACACAGAGAAAAGCAGGAAGACTTGGAAAGTGATAAATATAAAAACAGTTTTGTGTCTGCAACCTTCAATCAAAAGTTCACGTGAAATCTCAGTATTCTTATATTTCCTTCTCCAGTAATGAAATAAAAACTGCTGACGTCAGATGGTTGTAATGTTTTGGTACATGAGCCTCCAACAGCCCAGTGTTGAACAAGCAGAGGAACTTAACTTCAACTGTTACTGAATATATTTACATATTTCTAAGAGCTTCAGAGAGTTGAGCAGAATTTCACTGCAGAAGGAGAAAGCATGTGAGTTTTGCAGACGGCTGTGGTCTTTAATGTTGACTTTCACCAACATGGTTAGAATTTTACACACTCAGCTAAAACTTGGTGTGGTAGTAGCTGAGCATTGTCCCCAACATGTACTATGAGTGTTACAGACTGAACAGATTTGATCAGAACTCTATTGGATATACATCTACAACTAATCAACTGTTTGAGTCTAATTCAAGATGGCCGCCACAGCTTCATAGCCAACCTTTGTCAACACAAAACAGCTCTAACTTGGTAAAATATACCGAAACTGAGCTAAAGTTTCATGTGGTAGTAGCTAAGAGTGCTAACACATCTTGAAAGAACCGTCAACAAGATCTCACACATTTTGAAGGTTTGACTGTAACTCCATCCCCTCTCATCCAACAAGGATCTTAGATTAAACTGGAGCCCGACCGATGTATCGTAGGGCCGATAGTTTAGGCCAATATAGATGTTTGGGGACCTATCTGTGAAAACTGTCCCATTATTCACCAATATAAACACTTGTAATATTCACCCCTACAATGCTGGAACCAGTTGTAATTGTAGAATGTATCCAGCAGAGGGCGCATGAAGACTACTTTAAAGTCATGGCTGTTCACTTAAGTTTCACTTTCAGCACATAAATTATCTTCAATCCTCCAACCTGCTCGTCATTAGCTATGTGCCTCTCAAGTTAGCAAGCTAACGTTTAGATAACCTAGCATAAGCTTTTGCCTTGTAATATCTAGAACAATAAATCTAGCATAGTGATAAAACATTTCAGTGTTGGTAACGTTATCTTTGTCATCTTCAATGGAATGAATTGTTTGTCTGAAATCTTTACTTCTCTACAAAGATAAATAAACACAGCTGTGGTCAATACTTTTTAGATCTTCACCATACATGACTGACTGTTTAAATAATAAACAGTGAAGGTGTTTCTTTGTTTAATTTATATTTATGTAACATACTTGATAAAGGTTTGTAGGCTCAATCATCCAGGTAGATAAGAAAAGAAGGTTAAATCATTTATGGTGAATAGTGGAGGATAGAAAAGACGTGTTAGGAAGATGTTTTTATGACCAGTGCACCACTGGTGAACCTACTGTGGGACTACGTACAGCATTGATCTGATTAGCTTAGCTTCATGGTTGCTAACAGCTGTGCTATAAACAAGCCCCACTCCACTTGCTGTTTACTTAAATTAGGGGGCGCCTGTGGCTGAGTGGTTAGAGTAGTCATCCTCCAGTGCAAGAGTTGGGGGTTCGAATCCACCAGCAGTCACATGCTGAAGTGTCCCTGGGCAAGACACTGAACCCCTCATCTCCTCTGATGTGTGTCCCATCAGTGAATGAATGTGATAAAGCTCTGATTAGTCTCTTTAGAATGATTTGTTCAATTAGCATTGTAGCAATCTAGTATAGAGCTGTATGAATGGGTCAATGAGGACACAGATTGTAGTGTAAAGTGTTTTGAGTATCTTGAAAGAAGATAGAAAGGCACTATATAAGTACAGTCCATTTACCATTTAAATTCTCATTACATTGGTTACTGGCATTAGCCTTGCCCTCCCAATAATGGTATTTGTGATGGCCAATATTTCCATATCGATCGAGCTCTAATGGAGCACGAGGTGGCAGGCGATAAGGTTCTTTCAGGGTATTCTGTCCTTCCACTCTGGGTTTGTCCTCCTGGGAGGTGTCAGTGCTCCTTACCAGGGCTATATGACTGTTGTTCCACGTGTTGTTGTCCACCAGGGTGGTCCTGTTGGCCATGCCTGCTATCTGGTAGCCATAATCCCACCATGACATCACTCGGGCATGTTCATCGGTGTTCTGCCTCAGCCAGTAGTATGCTTCTCTGAAGTCATCCAGGATGTTACGGGAGCTGAGGAGGACAGAGGATGAGAGGGATGATCAATCAGAACATTTGTTGCCCACCAGTGAAAGGTGAAGGCAGTTGATGTTGGTTTTGCCCATGTCCCTGGGGGTGTGTGTGTGTGTGTGTGTGTTTGTTACTCAAATGTCTCAAACTCTTGAACACAATTTGATCAAACAAGTAAAAAGTCATTGATGGATGTACATCTACAAGTGATGAACTTTTGGAGCCCAACTTATTTAAAATGGCCACCACATCCCACTGACCATAGAAACACAAGAACAGCTAGAATTCAGTCAGTTTCACAAATATTAAGTTCAAATGTGGAGTGGTAGTAGCTGACAGTCATTCATAACACACTGCATGACATCTAGCATTGAGATGTTTAACGTTTGGATGAAATGACTACTAATGTGTAACATGTCAGCTTGATCCCATGCATGAAACACAGCAGGAGACTGCCAGCCCTTTAAGGAATGTGACGGCTGCCGTTTTTACTGATTTCAGTTGATTAGAATCAGGAAAGACATCTCAGGATCATCGAGCTAAACATCAGACCCAACTGCTGGTCTTTGGAAGAAGGCAGGACTGCTACACTCACCCGTCATGGTTGTAGGACGCCAGCACCACACTGGGGCTGGAGTAGGCGTTGCTGGTGACCCAGGTGCAGTGGACGGCAAACATCATGAGCAGCATCAGCATCAGCATGGTGACTATGGACTTGATGTTGGGGCCCAGGCCTTCCTCGGGCTTCTCCTGCTCCGACACGTGTTTCCTCACCTTCCCAGCCTGCAGGCAGAGCAGCTCGTGAAGATTAGTGACTCACTCTGGACACGCAGGCAGGACGTATGAAGCTTTAATGCACCAGCTAGATGTTCCCACAGAGTCCTCAGAGAGACACTTAACCAGTGCGGTGGTTGTTTTGTGTCTTTCAGAGGACCAGTGTTGTGTCACTCCCACAGCATCAATAACAAACAACTGGTCATAAATATATGGAGTGCTAGTGTCTCGAGAAAAGAAGGAGGGGAGGAACAGATAAAGGATGTTTGTCAACATGAAAATAAATATTCAAACTTTTGATGATAATGTCGATCAGTTTTGTGTCTGAGTGTCATGACTCTTGTGATATCAGATCACACACACACACACACACACACAAAACACACACACACACACACACACACACACACACACATATATATATATATATATATATATATATATATATATATATATATA